TGAAAAGTTTTTTTTCAGGGTTGGAGCTGAACTCTGCAGGACTGCGGCTCTCTAGGACCGAACTTGCTTACCCCTGCTCTAGGAGAAAGCTATATATTCATTCTATGCAGTGATGCTGCAGGGTTCTCTGGGCCAGAGCTCATCTAAAATAGTCAGAAAGTCCACATTTCAACTTGTTTCTGGGAAAAATGTACATTGAGTTCTCAGTCAGTCCCAAAGACCAAAGCATCCATCCAGACTTTCATCAACAACAGATGCAAAAGCAAACGTATGTCGTGGTATAGCAGAGCATATGTGTGAAGGTACCATTGACATGGAGGCATATACTGGGATTGTACGAAGACATATACTGCCATCAAAATGACGTCTTTAATGGGAAGTCCATGGTTATTAGATCAAGACAATGCCAGCTCTCATTCTGCATGCGCTACAACAGCGTGGTTTCGTAGACTCAGGGTGAATGTGCTAAACTGGCCTACCTGCAGTCCAGATCTGTCTCCAATTAAAAATGTATGACCAGTCATGAAAAGGAGAATCACAGACTGCTGAGCATCTGAAGTCTTTTATCAAGCGAGATTAGACAAAAATTTAGCTTGAAAAACTTTAACACTTAGTATCCTCAATTCCCAAACAATAAAACATTGTAATTAAAAGGAAAGTTGTTGATGTGACACAGTGTTAAACATGCCTCTGTCCCAACTTTTTTGGAGTGTGTTGCAGCCATCAAAATCAAAATGTGTTCATATTTACAAAATAGGTTGCGGGGGCGGACACATACACAGGGTTATTTGGCAAACAAAAAAAAGAACATTATTTGAAAATGATTTTCCTTTAAACTAACTAGTAACGTAGCTGCCATTGCCATTAGCCCTTGACAGGCTCAGGATACAGATTATGGTGGGATATTTGAAACCGCAATACCAAGAAATTTTACTCATTACAATATGGTGCAAACACAAGTTTTGCTGGTTAGCTTTGTCCTTGACAGGGTACAAGATGACCAACAATTTAAAACATTAAATTTCAGAAATTGTTTTGTTCAAAAGAAATAATGGTAAATTAAATACTAGGAAATGAATATAAAATAAGAAAA